AAAAAAAAAAAAAAGGAAGAAAGAAAGAAAAGGTCTGTGAGTTCTGTGGGCTCCCTGAAATACTCTGGAAAAGGAACAGGATCTCAGTTTTACCTAAAGAAGCTCAAGAATTAGAGAATCCCCTGCTAAAAATGTCTCAGGAATCTTGGAGCCACTGCCAGGACTATCACAGCTTTGAACAGCATATTCCGATACAAACTGAAGACACAGGGCCTTTCCACAGATGGTCTTCTGTTCTACCTAAAAGACTAGGGCCTTTTCCCAAGCTTTTACAGGTCAGAAAGTATTGACTTAAGATTTAATTTCCCACTAGTAAAGGGATGGGAACAGAATCAGATTAAATTTTGTTAAATATAAAGACATAAGACATTTGTTACACAAGTTTGTGGAGTAAATTCTTAGTGGCATCATAGTAATTTTTAAAATCTCTACTTTCCTCTGAGAGATACACCTGACACATCTTGTGTAAATGGAGTATATCATGTGTACCCCTATAACTTAAAAACTGCAACATTTTAGCTGCAAAGAAAAATGCTCAATTAGATTAAATTGAGAGCACATACAAAAACAACTATACCCCAATCCCACTCCATTCCTTCTTTAGATAATCTTATCTCTATAAAGAACTGTGCCAGAGACTGGGCACAGTGGCTCATGCTTGTAATCCCAGCATTCTGGGAGTCCGAGGCAGGCCAATCACATGAGGCCAGGAGTTTGAGATCAGCCTGGCCAACACGGCAAAAAATCGTCTCTACTAAAAATACAAACATTATCCGGAGCAGCGTAGCACATGACTGTAATCCCAGCTACTCTGGGAGGCTGAGGAAACGAAAATCGCTTGAAGCCGGGAGGCCAAGTCTGCAATGAGCAGAGATTGCATCAGTGCACTCCAGCCTGGGCAAGAGTAAGACCTTGTCTCCAAAAACAAAACAAAACACGGTGCCAGAAAGTCAATCTTTTTCCTTTATTCAAGTTACTCAAGAAGAAGTTCACTAAGTGGAAACAGATGTTAGCAGTTTTAAGGAAGACAGGTGGGGTGCAGGTGTAGGATAGTGATGTGTGCAAGGCTCTCCGAATTTGAAAGAATGACAGTAAGAGCTAACGTATTATTACCGTACGCTGGGGACCTAGTACTTCACATATAATAAGACAGTTAATGAAGGAGGTACAGGTAAGAACGCTTTAACATAACGAAATAGTGTCCAAGTTGACAACAGCTACTAATTGGTGGAGCTGGGCTTTCTACCCAGACAGTTCATCTCCAGAGCCCCTCAGTCTTCACTTTCTCCACCTTCTCTAAAATAGAGGATTTTATGAGTTAATAATTGAAGCTTGTTTGTATCTCCTTGAGGATTCGCTATCCTTGTTACTAATGCTTTTATACTGCATAAATTTCAGATCTTCCGAAATAAAAGTTTTTAAAATATAGGGCAATTTGGAGTATCCATGTTTGTAACAATGTTATCTTTTTGTGTCTGTGTGTGTGTAACAATGGAAGAGGAGAAGAAAGTATATGCCAGATGAGCCATAGAAGCATCTCTACAAGTGTTTCCCGCAATGGCAGATGGTCCACAGCTTTTACGTAGGTTCCGAGGTTATTCTGGGCTATTCGGAATCGTGGTAAGACTGCATTCCCGGACGTTTCCCCACCACACAACCCAAGCAGAGTCAGTAATCTAAAATTCGTAAAGCACTGTGGATCGTGACAAGGGCACTGAGATAAACTGGAAAATAAACAGGCCTTAGAATCCGTCTTAAATTTTATTCTCATATCAATTCCTACGCGTTAAGTCAGTATCTCTTCTGCAAAATAAAAACAATGCAGCCTACCTTGCAGGGATACAGGGCCAACACTGCCTTTCGCAGTTACCCTCAATCTTGTCAGTCCCCATCCAGGCTTCTCTGCCTCTGGAAGGAGATCAATGAAAGCTAACTTTCTTTACCAAAAAGTAAGATATTATAGCGTTTGTTGTCATTTCCTATTAAAAAGAAAAAGGGTGGGAGCTGGTTGAGCCCCTGTGCCTGGCGCACGGTGGGGAAAATCCATACACGCCTATCCTTCCGTCAAACAGAACCCGCTTTCCGGGGTCTCCTGAGCGTGGCTGGCGGGAGGGTTCCGGGCGCTGCTAAGTCTCCAGGAGCTTCGGAGTTCGCGCTGCTGCCCCGCCCCGGCCGCGCACGCGCAGTGACGCGCCGGCCAGGCGGACGGCTGCTGTCGGGCCTCCGTGGGCGGGGCCGCTGGCTGGGCGGGGCCGCTGGCTGAACTGAGCGGAGGCGCCGCCGGGCGGAGGGCCCACGCGGGCTCAGCTTTCCCGGTCGGCAGTGGTGACGGTAGCCCAGCCTGCCGGGGAGCCGTTGGTTTTCCGAGTCGCTGTCTTCCAGGCTCCGTCAGTGGTCGGCATGGCACGTGAGTGTGCGGACGCAGATGGGAAGCGGCGGGAGCGTCGGGCTAGGTAGCCTAGCGCTCCGGCGCTGCAGGCGGGGGAGGCGGGGTCCGACTGGAGAATCCCCTTGGGTCCCGCAGGGCGGGGATCCCGGCTTCCGTCGGCGGAGGGAGAGCTCGCGGCTGGCTCGGGTCAGGCTTCTCAGACCTGGCGCGTGCCTGTCCCTCAGGGGCGAGTTTATGCCGTAAAGAACACACCCCGAAGATGTGGACACGGCCGCCCCGAGAGGGTCCTTGTTTGGGGGCGGGTGGTAGCTTAAGGCCTCATGAGGACCGGGACTCCGGTGAGTCGCCTCCCTAGTTCTTTTGTTTGGCCCTCGCAGGTAATAGTCGAAAAAACAGGAGGCTTTAGAGCTGGTCCTAAATTTGCTCGTTTCTACGAGTCCTACGTGTTAGGTTAGTCTGTTGTGTAAAATAAGAACAATAAAGCCTACCTTGCAGGGTTGTGGCTAGAATAAGGATGTGAAGGACCCACACAGCCTTTCGCAGTTACCCTCAATCTTTTCAGTCCCCAATCACCCCTCTCCGCCTCTGCATGGGGATAAGGGTAACTCTCAAATAATGGGTTGAACTTATGATCTCTTTATCTGGCTTTCATCTTCCACCCACACCTCTCATAAAGCAGAACTTGCTTTGGGATACTGGTCCAGAAGATTCGAATATCTGTTTTAAAATATCTGGTGTTTATAGCTAGTGACCACTAGATTGGTATGATAATACTCTTTAAGTGTTCGCCTTTAAGCCACCTTCTTATTGTCATATCTGGGAACACCATCAGTCTGTTACTCTACTGGTTTATCCATTAAAACACAAACTAAAGATGCATTTTAAAAAGACCTGTCTAATGGAATCATTAATAATTTTGTGGATGGGAAAAGAGCATGACTGTTTGACTTTGTAGGTGGAAATCAACGAGAACTTGCCCGCCAGAAAAATATGAAGAAAACCCAGGAAATTAGCAAGGGAAAAAGAAAAGAGGATAGCTTGACTACCTCTCAGAGAAAGCAGAGGTAAGTGGTACTAATTTAATTCTAGAGTCACTCATGCTGTAATTGAGGACACATTTTAGACTGGTGTGGTGCCTCATGCCTGTAATCCCAGCAGTTTGGGAGAGTAGGGAGGATTGCTTGAAGCCAAGAGTTTGAGACCAATTTGGACAACATAGCCAGCCCCTGCATCTACAAAATATTTTTTTAAATTAGCCAGGTGGCCGAGGGTGGTGGCTCACACCTGTAATCCCAGCACCTTGGGAGGCCGAGGTGGGTGGATCACAAGGTCAGGAGTTCAAGATCACCCTGGCCAAACCCCATCTCTACTAAAAATACAGAATCTAGCTGGGCTTGGTGGCGGGCTTGTGTAATCCCAGCTACTCAGGAGGCTGAGGCAGGGAATTACTTGGACCCGGGAGACGGAGGTTGCAGTGAGCTGAGATCGAACCACTGCACTTCAGCCTGGGCAACAGAGTGAG